TTTAAAATTAATGGGTGATACAAATCTGAATGTACAAATACCAGTTGCCCAATTTATCAAAAATAACACAAACCTTAGACAGCAACATCTTCTGGCAAATTAACATAAATACTTTTCTCCTTTAATACGTTTTTTTTTTCTCATTTCCATCTTTCATTGATTTACTGTTTGTTGCTTTTTTTATTATTATTATTTCATCTATTTTTTTTCCCATTATTATTACCAACATTTATTAATAGTTTTTTGTAATTGTAGTCTGTTGATTTATTTTTTAAACCATTGTTGTGCTTTAGACAGTAATTCTTGTAAAATTTGTATGTTTTTATATATGTGTTTTAGCAGTTAGTGTAACCATTTTAATTCCTTCTGAGGAAGTGTTTCAATAAACCAAACCTGGCATTCAAATATGCACGCATAGGTAATTATGTAGATGAGAATTTCCTACAAAATCATGTTTGTGTGTTTATGCATTGACCTCAAGTACTGCCCAATTATGGTACCAATAGACCAATGAAAACACAGCAGTGCAATAATTGGAAACATGATTATAATAATATAACCTAAGAGGAGGCTAGCTATAATGTTATCCACACTATACACTTACAATACTCTACAATAAGTGGGAGTTTTTATTTATTTTCAGAATGTGACATTCAAGGCATCACCTGGTGAAGTCATAGCTCTTGTAGGGCCAAGTGGTGGAGGTAAAAGTACATGTGTCAATCTTATAGAACACTTCTATGAACCCACGTCAGGTTCTATATTATTAGATAACATACCAATACAACAATATGATCATGAATATTTACATAATAAGGTAAATAGTACTGATACTGACTTACATGTGACAACATTGATTGTTCTATATACAAATGTATTTTAGTTAGAAATGTTAAAAAATAATGTTTTTATTTAATTTGAATGTACTGTAAAGGGGGTAATTATTCACTGGGTTTTAATTTAGCTTATTTCGCTGACTGGAAAATGCGCTAAATTAAAACCCAGTGAATATGTAAAATTTAGCATAGAACGCATTATCTAAATGATAAAACCGTGAATTTAAAACCCACTGAATATGCCTGAAATGGTAAATCAGTGAAATTTAAACCCAGTGAAAATTAGTCATTTTACAGTATTAAGAATTTTTGGTAATATTTATTAATGATCATATTTAATGTGAACCCAAAAATAGAAATGTCCCAAAAGTGGGGGTAGGCACTTAGCTGAACACTACTAAGCCGGTCGGGTACAGTAATCATCCAATTTCATCATTCGAATTAACAACGTACTATGTATTTCTGCTTAAAGGTTAACACAGAAAACATGATTTATCTCCAGAAGAAAATAAATCTGTGTCAATTTGTTTTCCAAAATCAATGCTTGTAATTATTTTTTTGTGGTTTTAATTTGGTTTTTCTTAAAAATAGTTTTTTCTTTTATTTTTTTATAATCCTACATGAAAACCTTTGACAAAGGCTGATACACACAATTACACAGAATTTACATTAAAAAAAAAATTCTGGGCAACTGAATTAACAGTAATTAATTTGAAATGGTCATATTTGCTGTTCTTTAGTTGCTACAATCCACCAACATAAAACTACATCCCAAAAAGCATTTCCTCACCAAGTTTTTGTGAAATATTTATCGTCTCATTTAGGTTGCAATGGTGGGTCAAGAGCCTATCTTATATGCAAGATCGATACGAGAAAACATAGCATATGCCATGGAGAATCATTGTACCTTTGACAAAGTCAAACACGCAGCAGTACTTGCCAATGCACATAAATTTATATCAGAATTAAAAGATGGTTATGATACTGAGGTAGGAGAGAAGGGAACCCAAATCTCAGGTAGAGTAGTTGATACTATATCATCTTAAGTTTCTCAGAGCCATGAATATGTACTTGTAGAATTATTTCAAACATGATCTCAAATCTAACCTTCATGTTAGATGTAACCAACAAAACCATCGTTATTGGCCGCTGTTGGTTATAAATAAATAAACAACAAATAAATAAATAAAAACACATTGATTTTGAGTGTCCAATTTTAACTGCTCTAGCCGTAGCCACCACCAAATGAAGCATGTATGCAACATCCACAATACATAATTTGGTATTGTTTTGTTACAGGAGGGCAAAAACAGAGAATAGCAATAGCTAGAGCTTTAATCAGGGATCCCATCGTGTTGTTACTGGATGAAGCTACAAGTGCATTAGACTCAGAAAGTGAATATATGGTGAGTGATTGTAATTTATGTATTAAAGCAGGACTGTAAGGAACACCATACCCGTTCATCTAACACATGGCCTTATCTTTGTGCAAATTATCTACAGTATCCAGGCAAGGATTTGATAGTAATGACAATTCAGGAAAAATTCAGTGGTTTTTTTCCGTGCAAATACCATCCCCACTTGGAGCAAATTTTTTCTTGGTCTTTTATTCATAGAGTCTTGGCTGTTTATAACTTTAGGTGAGGGTGGGGGTATTTGTTTTTCCTTTTGTATATCAAATGTGTTAGAGTTTTCTAGTGGTCAACTCCTCAACAATGTAAAGCCAAGGGTAATATAAAGAGATTAAAACAAAATTGTTTAAAATGCTAATCTGTAAGTGTAATTCTTTTAGGCTCATATTCATGCATGTTAGGAACCAGTGATTCAATAACATACGGGTGTTCAAAATATGTATTGTAAATGCATTAACGTACATGAATATTTAATTTGATATGAGCATATTCACTAAATTTTAAACCAATGATTCAATAACATACGGGTGTTCAAAATATGTATTGTAAATGCATTAACGTACATGAATATTTAATTTGATATGAGCATATTCACTAAGTTTTAAACTAATGATTCAATAACATACGGGTGTTCAAAATATGTATTGTAAAAGCATTAACGTTCATGAATATTTAATTTGATATGAGCATATTCACTAAGTTTTAAACTAATGATTCAATAACATACGGGTGTTATGTATTGTAAAAGCATTAACGTTCATGAATATTTAATTTGATATGAGCATATTCACTAAGTTTTAAACCAATGATTCAATAACATACGGGTGTTCAAAATATGTATTGTAAAAGCATTAACGTACATGAATATTTAATTTGATATGAGCATATTCACTAAGTTTTAAACCAATGATTCAATAACATACGGGTGTTCAAAATATGTATTGTAAAAGCATTAACGTACATGAATATTTAATTTGATATGAGCATATTCACTAAGTTTTAAACTAATGATTCAATAACATACGGGTGTTCAAAATATGTATTGTAAAAGCATTAACGTACATGAATATTTAATTTGATATGAGCATATTCACTAAGTTTTAAACTCATAGATTTACCAGGGAAACAATACGCTGTGCTTTGGTCGATACTCCAGCTGTACTGTCTTTGTGCATACTTTGAGGTATTCTCGTAATGACCTCATATTATTTAGAGTATTCAGTTTTATGTGTACAATCAATAGGAGCCATTTTGTTTTATATGTCGTACTTTTCTCATCCTCAGGTTCAACAAGCCATATATGGCAACCTGCAAAACAGAACCGTTCTGATTGTTGCTCACCGTTTAAGTACCATAGAGAAAGCTAATCGCATCATAGTTATTGACAAGGGAACAGTCGCAGAGCAAGGAAGCCATCTTGATTTACTCGCACAAAACGGTCTCTACGCACAGCTAGTCCAGAGGCAGCTACTCAGCACTAATATAACACAGGATGACGAACCCCCGGAGTTGACCAACCCAAATATTAATGGACCAATCACCAGTGTTCCTCTAAATCCAATTAATCAGTTAGCATTCAGTCCGGATAACAATTCTGATGACGATTCAGAATCATTTCTATCCAGTCCTGGTGGCATTACGTTTTCAGTGGGATCATACTTGATGTGAAATAAACATTTTGGTAAGATCCAATACACAATTTTTCTGTGTTCAAAAATAGCCCAGAGTTTGCTCCCTTGCATGTTTCTTTTACCAAGGATGAATACTAATTACATTAGACACAAATTAAATTAATTAACATGCATCATTTTACATATTTTATCAGTGTTTATCATACTCTTGATACAAGTTAAATAGACACTAGTTTTGGGTTTCCAATGTGGACTTGGTATTTTTCCCGCCTAAATTATTGCCAGTATTTTCCCACCAAAGTTAGCTGAGATATATTATTGCGAAAGTTTGATACAGTTCATGTTTATATATATTTTCCCCCCAAGAATGAGGCACGTTATAGATATACAGGTTATACGGCAGAATTTTGTTCACACTCCACTGACAAGAATGTGCATCATGTCATACTCGTTCTTCATATTGTCACCATGTTGTAAACACAAGTTTATGGCTCGTATTTGCAACGAGTACTGTAAAATGACTAATTTTCACTGGGTTTAAATTTCGCTGATTTACCATTTCAGGCATATTCAGTGGGTTTTAAATTCACGGTTTTATCATTTATATATGTTCTATGCTAAATTTTACATATTCACTGGGTTTTAATTTAGCGCATTTTCCAGTCAGCGAAATACGCAAAATTAAAACCCAGTGAATTAACCCTTTTACAGTAACTTGTGCCCTCTACAAGGCTTGCATGTGATGAATTCCTATCGTTATATTTAGTCCTAGGGAGCTCAGCTGACTGCAATCTATTATCAGAGAATATCGGTAAACAGCAAAGAGTCTGGTAACATTTTGTTTTACAGAGGATATGTGGTTGCACACAATTTGCCAGACAACTTAGCAAGAAATGGTGTTTCCTGATAAATGCGAGACCAAAATAAGGCCAAAAGAAAAATATATTAGCATGTGTGCCAGAAACTGTTCTCAATTTTCGTGAAGCAACTTTGTCTTAGATCTACTCGTATATTTTCAAAAGTTCTTAAATACCCTACTAGTTGAATTTATTCTTCTTGATTACAATTTAATTATTAAAATAGTTCCAGGGTACACTGATAAATTTTGATTATTATGGATACAGGTGTGAAGTATGTATACATTATGGTGTTTAAGCAAGGCTTTATTTATTATACATTTTGTATTTTCATACTCCGTTCTTTACAAGTAGCTCAATAAATCTATGCCTGTTGATAAAATTTCTACCACGTACAAGTCTTTATTGAAGTGGATGTGTGTGGTTCACTGAGACCGGATTATGGTGCATTGTTATGCAGTATCAGACATATTTGATGTCTTGGTTCTCAGAAAGATAGCAGGAGTGAGGTTTCTGGGAACCATCTGTATGTGGTGCACATCAAACAGGATCAATCAAACACCCAAGATTCACTAATTTTTTTTTTTTTTTTATTACAAGAAAGTTACACGACAAGAGTTCTGCAATACAGACAATTTAACCCCTCATTAATTTTGTTCATACATTCATGATTGACATTTTGGGTACAAACTTACTTTTACAACGGTTCTGAGAATTATTCAGACAGTCTGTGCAAGATGGCTCGCAATTTAGCAAATCACTGGGGGTTTTTGCTTTGTTTCAGACTTAGTTGCACCTCTTGACAAGATGGCGTGCTGTGTGAGATTTACTTTTTCCCCCAAGTTGATCAACATGATGATTTGCTATTTTAGTGTACCGGTACATATTCAACAACTTCTTGTTTATCTATTTTGTATGTTCAAAAATTATCAAAATAACATGTTAATATATTCTAATGAACACGCATCCTTTTGAAAAACTGTGCTTTACCTCATCGAGTATAAAATAGAATGATTTAAACTGAGCGTGTCAATGAGATGGCACCATCAAGTCCAGATTAGAAAAAACTGAAGTGTTTGACAAAGTTGCAAACCATCTTACTAAGTAACTGTTCGAATAATTCTCAGAATGGTTGTAACACCAAGGGCGCCATTTCAAAATAATTTGATCACGGATGATATCAATCAGATGTGAGTTGCAGTCGCCCTCAGTGTTGGGGCGTTATGATATGATGGTCTGGAAGAAACAACACTTAAAAAATATCACATTGATTTTTCACCAGCAAAAAATAAAAATATTTATTTGTGAGAAAGTTGAAATAAAGATTGTCGCAACATACAAAGATTATCTTTATTCATAACTTGAGATCAAAACTCAGTGATCCAAATTAGTTTTGACAACTGTCTGCATGTGCACATCAAACAATATGCTCTGTGCGTAGTAAAACATGTTAAGTTTAAAATAAGTGAATTAAGTTGCAATAATTAGATTTGGTACACGTCTTTTTCAGTAGCATATATGTCAATTTATTATCTTTATCAACCTGCATAGCCTAGTCAACAGAAAATTGAGATCTTCAGAAAAAAAGTTTGGCTTAAAGTGGAATATCAATTTCTCCACTTGAAGGATATACATGAACTGAAAAGCTTCTAATAGAAAATATTACTTAGAAAAGAAATTGATCTCAACTGGTTTAACCACCCAATCTCCATAACCATGCTTATTCAACTGGTGAAAAAAATCTGATTTACTTGACTGGTAGAACTTGCACAGTGCCTGTAAAGTAAAAGAAAATCACATAAACAAATAAAACATGACAGCTCAGAGACATGGAAGTAATTCATTGTGAATGACATAGTTAAATTCCTCTCAACTATTTAGTTTCTTTTGCATTTGAAATCAAATGATAGTACAAGAATAAATAGCAATAACTTTCATTAAAATGATTTACTGCCAGTAACTATTAACCCTGCATATAATAAGAGTTTGAATTGCACATGCATCTTTAAACCAAATACGTACAAGACACTAGTCGGCCATCTTGATTCTCATCTTGAGAATAAAATGCTGCCCATAGCCCAATATGAATCATACCAAATCTGATTTCAATTACCTATGTTATCTCTGAGTTAAACAGTTGAAGACTGACTGACACATAAGGATTAAGTGATTTTTATGACACAAATGGTTGCCAGACATCCCCTAAAAAACATGTAACATTATATTACATGGTGTATTGTTTTGTTCCAAGTGTGATAGAAATTTGTTGATGCATGTTGAAAAATTACTGAACAGATCACAAATTAATAGTTGTGTACTTTGTCTAGACAGAGACTAAGGCCAAAATAAAAATCTGTTTCTGGTCTAAAATTTCTTTAAAAAGAATGAAGCAGTGATGCAAACGTCCAGAGTTGGTCTGCTCATGTGTGGAAAAGATATTAGGCCATCCAGGCACATTCTCCCTTTTTTCTGAGGACACACACCAACCAGAAATGGATCTAATTTGTTGGGCTAAAGAGAATGAGAATTTTGTCTTACCTTCGCCTGTTGGTATGTACTTGCATGCAATAAATCATGTCGATTTGCTTTGGTGCAAAGCTCCAAAAATCGACTATAGAAAGCTAATTTACATAATCTACTAGCTCCGCTGGCACCAGCTCTGAATGGAGAACTGAAATAAAAGAAACAAAGTCAATTATCTTGCAGTACATTATACAGAGACTTATAAAACAGTTTGGTACTATTAATACCAATAATCAGTGCAGTATAGGTATTTCTCTATATTCGGTCACAATTTTCATTGTCCTGCAAAAATTGGTTTCTCACAAAATTAACCCTTATCTGGTCAAGTCAATGCAAGGGTGTTAGACAAAAGTGTTGAATCAGTGGTACATTCTGCCTTGAAAGATTTAAATCTTTTAATATTTTTATTAAAAATCATTATTATACATCTGTCACCGTAACGCCATACGTTACAGCGTGCCGTAATTTTGCGGTATTTTACAGGGTATTTTCATCCTACCATATTAGGAAATGCTAATTCAAAATATAGAATGATTACGCGCGTAAGCGTCTTCTAATAATAACAAGCAGCCTGTCGGCTGAGATAGCTCCGCTGTTAGCAATGCACATGGCAATTAAAGAACAGAAGATATCATTAGAAAATGAACAAATCTGAGAGAGGTCC